TAGTCCCTGGATCCGTGCCTCTGGGGAGAGACAAGATAAGATGGCAAGAATGGATTGTTCTCTCATCATCAATTGAAAGTCACCAGTAGCCTCCACATTATTTGCAGATTATCTCTGTAAGGAATTTTAGAAGCTCTTTTTGCACCTTTATGTTAGAAAGTTGACATAAATTTGCCCTTTAAAATTTCTGTACGAGCCAAAAATTTATCAGCAGTTTTTACTTCCTAAAATAAAATTAAGAGATAAGTAATGTTTGAGGACTCTATCACCTAGAATTGGAAGCATTTTTGTTAACTAGCCAGTTATCGAAACTATCTTCAGGTCCAAATGTGGTGCTTTGTTTGTTTGTTTGTTTTATTTTTATTTTTTGTAATTTTAATGTAGAACTCACTTATTTTACTGAAAAGAATGTCAAGTTTGGTCTGATAATTTCAAATGCAATTCTCCTCTCTATGGTTTTCAAATGTTTTTGATTTTATAACTCATTTTTTGTCATCCAATAATTTTCTATTTCTCTCATCAGTCCAACATTACTATACCAAGAAATAAAAATAGTTTGGAATTTTCATAAGATGAGAAAAATGGAAAACAAAAGGTAACTTATTTCCTCATTTTTAGTCTGAGAGAGAAGACTATGCTTATATGTGGTATTTTGGGTTGGGCTAACACAGAAAATATTTGACATTAGCACCAGGCTCTGTCATCAAATGACAGCTATGGATGCTTAATTGATTTAATCAGATATTAACACTTTGGGAAAACTTAGGTTGGTGGATTTTAAAATGCTGTCCCTGAAAACCAGTAAGTACCCTGGGACCAGGTATGGTGGTCTTTGGACCATGTGAATCAGAATTGTCTCAGGTTCTTATGTAAAAAGTAAATTCCTGAGTTTTACTCAAGATTTTTTTTTTTTAAGTAAAATCATTGGGATGGTATATCAGTAGATGCAAAAAAAGCATCTGAGTAAGCCCAATACCCATTTATGATAAAAATTCTCAGTAAACTAGAAATATAAAGGGTTTCCTCAACTTGATAGAGAATATGTACAAAAACCCTAAAGCTAACACTACTCAAAGCTTTCCCACTAAGATCAGAAATGAGGCAAGAGTATCTCTTCTCAGCATTTCTTTTCAATATTTTAATGGAGGTTCTAGCCAATTCAATAAGAAAAGAAAATAAAAATCATGCAAATTGGGAAGAAAGAAATAAAGCTATCTTTGTTCATGCATGACGTGATCATTTGTGCAGAGAATTTCAAAAAGGTCAGTTGCTTTCCCATAGATCAGCAATGAACAGGTGAATTTAAATTTTAAAGTAAATATTTATGTTAGCACATAGAAAATGAAATACTTAGGTATAAATCTAACAAAATATGTGTAAGACATATATGAGGAAAGCTACAAAACTCTGATGAAAGAAATCAAAGAAGAACTAAGTATTAATAAATAGAGAGATACTTTATGTTCATGGATGGGAAGACTCAGTATTGACAATATGTCAGTCAACTTGACCTAGAGATTCAATGCAATGTCAATCAAAATACCAGCAAGTTATGTTGTGGATACCAACAAACTGATTCTAAAGTTTATACGAAGAGTCAAAAGATTCAGAACAGACAGCACAATACTGAAGAAGAGCAAAGTTGCAGGATTTATATTACCTTATTTCAAGACTTACTATAAATCTATAGTAATCAAGACAGTTTAGTATTGGCACAACAACAGACAAATAAGTCAATGAAATAGACTAGAGAGCCCATAAATAGACCCACATAAATATAGTCAGCTGATCTTTGACAATAGAGCAAAGGTGATATGATGAAGCAAAGATAGTCTTTTCAATAAGTCATGGTGGAACATCTGGACATTCACAGCAAAAAAATGAATCTAAACACAGACCTTACACTCTTTACCAAAATTACCTAAAAATGGACCATGGGCCTAAATTTGAAATGCAAAAGTATAAAATCCCTAGAAGATAACATAAGAGAAAAGTGACATGACTTTGGGTATGATGATGGCTTTTTAGGTCCAACACTAAGGGCATTCTCCATGAAAGAAAGTATTGATAAGCTGGACTTTATTAAAATTAAAAATTTCTGCTGTGTGCAAGACAGTCAAGAGAATAAAAGAAGCAGCTACAGACTGGATGAAAATATTTGCAAAAGACACATCTGATAAAGGACCGTTATATAAAATATGCAAAGAACACTTAAAACTCAAAAAAAGAATCGAATTAAAAAATGGGAAAAAGACCTGAACAGACACCTCACCAATGAAGATACAGATGGCAAATAAGCATATGAAAAGATGCTGCATATCACGTATCATAAGGGAAATTGAAACAATGATGAGATACCACTACACAACTATTAGAATGGTTAAAATTCAGAATGCTGACATCACCTAATGCTGACAAGGATGGGGAGCAACAGGAACGCTTATTCGTTGCTGTGTGAATGCAAAATGGTGTAGCTGCTTTGGAAGACCGTTTAGTGGTTTCGTACAAAACTAAACATAGTCTTACCATGTGATTAAGTAATAGCCCTTCTTGGTATTTACCCAAAGGAGTTGAAAACTTCTATTCACACAAAAACCTGCATGTGGGTGTTTATAGCAGCTTTATTCATGATTGCTAAAATTTGGAAGCAACGAAGATGTCCTTCAGAAGGTGAGTAGGTAAGTAAACTTTGATACATCCAGACAATGGAGTATTATTCAGCACTACAAATATTAATAAATGACCTATCAAGATAGGAAAAGGAATAGAAGAAACTTAAATGCATATTACTAAATGAAAGAAGCTGATCTGAAAAGGCTGCATCCTGTAGAATTCCAGGTATGTGACATAATGGAAAAGGCAAAACTATAGTGACAGCAAAAAGGTCAGTGATGTCAGGATTCAGGGAAGGGACAGATGAATAGGCAGAGCCGAGAGGATTATTAGGGCAGTGAAATTACTCTGTTTAATAATATAATGATGGGGATATGTCGTTATACATGTGTCCAAACCCATAGAATGTTCAATGCCAATAGTAAAACTATGGACTTTGTTTTGCTTTGTGTCCTTGTGTACACATCTATTAGCTCCCACTTATTAGGGAGATCATATGGTGTTTGGTTTTCCATTCCTGAGATACTTCACTTAGGATAATGGTCTCCATTTCTATCCATGTACCTGCAAATGGTGTTATTTCATTCCTTTTTATGGCTGAGTAGTACTCCATGGTATAGGGGTGATAATGATTTGTCAGTGTAGGTTCATTGGTTGTAACTAATGTACCACTCTGGTGCGGATATTGATAATGGGGGAGGCTATGCTTGTCTGGGGCTGGGGATATATGAGAAATCTCTGTACCGTCTTCTCGATTTTTCTGTAAACCTAAAACTACTCTAAAAAAAGAATGTCTATTGAAAATAATCAGAAAATAATAATCATTCAGGTGTCAGCAATTTTTTCTGTAAAGTAAATAGTTTAGGCTTTGCAGGCCACAAATGGTCTCTGTTGCATGTTATTCTATTTTTTTTTTTTTAACAATCCTCTAAAAATGAGAATACAAGTTTTAGTTGACTGGTCTTAATAAAACAGGTAGCAGGTTGGATTAGGTCTCTGGGTCATACTTTGCTAATCTCTGGACTGTGTAATTATAAATACTGGTCTTGCAAAAAAAAAAAAGTTCTGAATGCTAACCTTGTAAATCAAACCTATAAAATATGTTTGGGAACTTCTTGGTTTAGCAAATAATAGATTAGAAATGTGTATTTGTAATTTCTAATCAAAATGGTATTGCTAATTGATACATTAACAACCACCTCATCCCTTGACACCCTCAACATAGCCATGCTGGACAAAATATTTTAAAATATGTCTTTGAAATAAACTAGATGCTACCTCACCATGGCAGTAAGCAGGAGGAGAGAGGAAAAAATCTTACCGAAGAAGATGAAAGCAAAACTTTATAAAATGGCCAATAAACTCAATAAACAAGTGAATTATCATCCAAAGAAATACAAATACTAACGTCTTCCAAAACAGATTTTTAAAATGAGTATTTTTGAAATCCCAAAAGGGATACAGGAATAAGTAACATTCATAAAAAAGAAAAAGGATTATATCTAACCAACATGTTTGTATTCCCATAATATTCTGAAATTAAAAAAAAGAAGAAAAAGGAATTATGAAATACAAACAGACAAATGAGACTCAGTAACAGGGAAAACGAAAATTAACAAGTATGAAATCCGTGGCATTGAAAATTATGGCCATTTTTTAAATTAACAGGTGAACATAGCTAAAGAGATAATCAACAAATTGTGAGACCCAGAACGAAACACTGAGAACTTAAATAAAAGCGAAAGTCAAGTTAAAGACCCAGATCAGAAGACAGGTTGAAAGTTCCAGCATATGCTTAATGTGTGTTCCAAAAAGGAGACATATAACAATGGGAAAGAGGCAAGATTTGAAGAATTAATGAGAGTTTCTTCTGAATTGAAGGGAAATGTGATCCTCATATAGTGACCCAGGCAGTCAATTTTAGAAATAAAAATAAATTCAATGTTATACACATTATAATGCCACCACTATTCTACATGACACTTATGTGAAAAAGGAGACAGTGCCCTCTGACAGATGCTGTCCTTTAATTTCATGCCTTTAGTAAATGGCCCATGGCCTGGTTTTCAGCCCCCACTTGCTTCTTTAGCCACATTCCTTTCTACAGAGCAAGAATTATACAACTGTACATGGGGTGGCCCTAAGTGAAAAATTAGAGACTCTAGGAATTGTTTTCCAGATTTCCTGCAAAGTAGCAAGAACTAAGCAGACTGTTGATTTTTTTTTTTATTAAGGATAACATATGCTAAGAGGTAATAGAATAAAATTTTTAAGTGCTGAAGGAAAAGAACCCAACCTGAGACTATATAACACTAAATTATCATTTAAGAGTAAGGATGGAACAAAGAAAGTTTTGGAGAAAGACTAATAGAATCGACCTCTTACAGATTCTTACTGAAAAAACTGCAAAAGGATGGACTCCAGCGAGAGGAAAAGTGAATCCAAGGAATGGAGTAGGATATAAGCAATAGCGGTGAGTAAAAATAGTAGTAAAATATGTGTATTTAGTTCTAATGTGAAACAGCGATTTTTATTGAAAAAAAATGTTAAACTTAAGTTAGTTGACTTGACTTCAACTGGACTCTCTCCTTTGCCCATGGTTTTAACTATTTTCAGTTTAGTGACTTATTCTTTTTTAAGCATTAATTGCCTGTTTCTCTCACTAGCCAACAACTGCTTTACTAAGAAAACATAACAGGTACTCAAAAAACATTTTTTGAGTGAATAAATGTATTCTCACTTAAATATTGAGAATCATTTTTTGATGAGAGATGGCATTTTGGTAGGATTAAGTATCAGAAAATGTGTTTAAATTTTAACTCTGCCTTTAATCAACCTGTGCTCTCGAACAAGATACTTCAGCTTCTTTAGACTTGGTTTTCTATCTGAAACTGAGGATGATGATACACACACCCTGTTAATTCATCAGAAAGTTGAGATTAAAACAGGATAAAGTGCATGGCTGGATATGTTTGAAATGTTTTTTTGTTTTTTTTGTTTTTTTTTCCCCTACTCATCAGCTAATAGCCAGATAAGCATTTAATGCTTCATTGAAAGTATACGCAAGGCAGAAGAACACAAAAGTAGTTTGTAAAACCCCCTGGATTTCCTTTCAAAAACGTAAGCAAGGAATAAAAGGGGAGTAGATGAGAGAGACCGGGGAAAATCTAAGAACCCAGGCAGCGGCCTCTCACCAGGAAGCTGTAAGACCCCAGAAACAATATCTGCAGGGTATACCTAGACACGCTATACCAAAGGCAGCCTCAAAAATATTTTTTTGACTTGGTTATCACCTAGAAATAAACCAGAAGGGGCCACATAGACAGGCAATGGACATCAAAGGGAAAATGGGACCAAGTGTTTGAGGGCCTTCCCAGAATGCTTTGGGGCTACATTTGTCAAACCATGAATGAAGTCATTAGGTGGTTGAAATGTGAAGGACAATCTTCAAGAATGACAAAATTGATTCTTCTCAGTGTGTAAATAAGTTGATTCATTTTTTGCAAAATTGTGAAATATGCAATATTCTGGGATAGAGATGTCAATTCTTACTGAATTATGGGATTTATGGGTTCAGCACAATTCCAGTACAGAGAATCATATCCTTAGCTTGTTTTATTGGTTTTTTTTTTTGTTTGTTTGTTTGTTTGTTTACCACAAAACAGTGATAAAAGAAAAGCTGAGTGAAACATTCATGTTAAAAGCCAGATTTTTCGTGAAAGGGGGCCCTGGTCTCAAAATAGCTATTTACTTGGTACTTCCTAATAGCACTTCCTCAGTTGTGAAAAAGTCCACATCTTGTGTATGTTGTGTTATCATTTCATCTGTGTATGTTGTGTTATCATTTCATCTGGAATTTGGTTATTAAAACGTGGTGTGGCTACTTACTGAGAGTGAGCTGCCATGGAGAGTATGTATTTGGATGCAAAAGTTTAATTGCTTAGGGAAGCAGGGTGAATGCCAGAGATCATAATACATATTGGGATCTCTTCTGTTTCATACCTCCTATCTTTCTGACTACTAATAGTCAGTAGCAACAATTATATTTTTTATAAAAATAAAGGATAAATCTAATAAATGTCATTTGTTGCTCTATTTTGCTACATATTTAAAAGAAGATATTAATTCATAGTTTAAGTCAAGAGTTAAAAAATATAGAGTATTGAGCATAGTTATACTTCAATTGATAGCATCCATTGTTTGACATTAACAATTTTGAAAGTCTGGATAGAAAAGGAACCCATAATTAATTAATCCAGTGGAAAAAACGATTTCCAGATATACACAGTGAGGATGCTGGTGCTTTGCAGCTTCAGAAAAACCTGGTTGGAGAAGAATCTCATGGAAATGCCTTTACTTACCCTTTCAAAGTCATCTTGAACTACCTGCTTTGAAATTATGAGATGTCCATTTTTCTTTAAGCATATTTTAAAGCATTTCAATAAAATATATAAATAGTAATTTTCACATCTAATAAAATTAATAGTATAATTTTGACAGTAAGACAGGAGTCTTATTGGTCACTCAAAGACAGCCATTGCACCTAGGAAAGTGTATAATACAGAGTCCACTTAGGAAATAGAAACCACAGAAATTGTTTTAACAGGAGAAGTTAATACAAAGAATTGTCAGGCAGGAATTGGAAACCTGAAAAAGAGAACACTAAGTGTTTCACAGAGTACCCATCGGGCTGAGGGAATAAAAAGGAGAGGTTAGGCTTCTTAAAATTTACATGCATGGATGAGGGACTCAAAGAGCTAGGACTAAACTTCCGAGGAGGGAGTGTTGCTGTGTTGTATTGCTGTCTCTGGACTGCCACAGAGCTGCTGCATGGGGCTAGGAGTCAGTCCTTTGAAGAGGAGCTGCCAGTTGGCTGCAGCCAAGGTCTGTGAGGGGCGCAGTGCTGTTGGCTGTATGAGTGTTGGAAAAAGCAAAGTGGAATCTACTGTGCTACTGGGACAACCAGCCACTGCCAGAGTGAAGCAGAGTTGGGCAATTCCGAGAACAAGAAAAAAAAAAAACAGGAACAGGAAACAGACCAGAATTCCTTCCCTCTCTTCTAGCCTTCAAATCCCTCTCTCTAGTGCCCCCTATTGGTAGGCCATTATCTAGCTGGCAAGAGAACTGTGTTTTTCAGAATCTCAACCCCAAAATCACAAGAAATGAAGTATGGAAGAATCGATTTGAAACTAAGAGAAAATAGCTTAACAACGATTGTGTGTGTGTGAGGAAACCAAAAATAAAACAAAACATATTTGTTTTTCTTGCCTTCTATAGGATTATTTCATGAAGGATATGTTCAATACTTTTGACTTTCCATATTCTAGAAAAAAGCATATTTGGAAAATATTTTTCTTACTGAATTTAATGCAGTATGAAAAGAAAGTAATTGAATAAAGATGGTTGGCTAAACACATGCATGTACTTGCCACAACTCTGTTAAAATAGTTTAAAAGGTATTTTTTTTAAATAATAAATCTTAATTATATAATAAAATAATAATTCATGACAGAAAGTAAAGAATTAGGGGAAAAAAGGACATGGATTTTGTTCATGCAGAAGAACACTTTAGAAAAGGCACGGCACAAAAGAAAGCGGGAGAAGGCCACTGGAGATGTGGGAGTGATTCCCAGGGAGGTCAAGTTCAAAGTCAGTGAATTCAAGGAGCAGGTAAGGTTTCTGGGGCATTGGGATCAGTAGTAGTGTAATTGTTTTCTGAGCCCGAGAACCAGTCAGTCCCCTTTTTTTTCTTCAGTGATACTGAGCATGGGTGTTAGTAGTTTGTCATCAAGATAAAGTGATGCGTGTAGGCTGCGAGGACAGGAGAGGTAGTCACTTGGGAAGCTAGTGATGTCTGGGAGAGGTATGGAGCCAGGAAGCAGAGGACTAGGTATAAACTCACCTGGCTTGCAATGTACTCTGCTCTCTTCCCACGAGCACCTGGGGTAATGATCCAAGAAAGGAACAGGCATTCCAAAGAGTCAAACAGTGACTCAGGAACACAAAGATGACCAGACAGCCAGCAGTTGCTTGAGAAAATATATCCGTATGAGAAAGAGTCACCAAAGAATCACAAATAGAAGACTTTATACTCAAAAACGTTATTTATCTGAATAATAAATGAAAAAGTTTTATAGAAACTTTAATTGATATCGAACATAAGATAGAATATCTATTAATATAAAAAAGCAACCCATTATGAGAAGAAAATAAATGTCTTTGTAATTAAAATATGATGGTAGAAATTTAAAGATCTCATTAGTTAGATTAATGGCAGAGTAGACACAGCTGATGAATAACAAGGGTTTCTCCAATATGGAGAGCAAGCCAGATATTTGAAAATGACAGAAAATTTATATTCTATAGAAGTGTATCAACAATGTGCAGTGTTTCTGTCTTCTAAGCATTCTAAGCATGTTGAACATAAAAGGTAGGAGTAGAAGAGATAGACACAAATTATTTATGAAATATTTCATAGCAGAGTAAAACACTTATTACAAATAGCCAGTAGATTAAATAATAAAAGACACATACTTTTGTCTGTTGTGTTCAATAATATATCCCCAGCACACAAAACAGTGCTCAGCACATAGTAGGTGCTCAATAAATATTTGTCAAATGAATGAATTAATCTAAACATACAAAGGTAGATTTTCAAAACATCAAGGATAAAGAGAAAAATCTAGAGTATCCACAGAGGAAAAAAAAAAAATCACAGGGATAAGAATTAAATTCCATAAGACTTATCAACAATAAGAGATTTTAAGTGGGACAAAATTTCAGATTTTAGGGGAAATTGATTTTGGTCCTAAATTCTTATAGCCATCCACATTAACCTTTAAGTGTGGATATTAAATAAAACATTAACATACATGCTAAGACTCAGAGGTATCATCTACAGACTTTGTAAAATAAATATTACTATTTAAGCTTGTGTTCTGATGAAACAAGAATTGAAGAGGGACACAGATTGGTGAGCAAATAAATCAATAAAGCATGTAGTGAATTCCATACAATTATGGTTAGTTAAGAAACAACAATCTGGGACTAAAATCCCCAAAGAGCTTATCAGAAGAAATTGTCAAGAAATGGAGGAAGCATAGAGTTTGGGATACCAGGTAGGAAGAAGAGAAAGCATTCCTGTTTTCTTTAGCAGGTGAATATACAAATATATTTCATTTTTTAAAAATATATGTTTTAACATATGGAAAACCATGGATTAAATGCTTTTAAAATGCAGAGTATATAAGACTCCTTTAGAGTATTTTAGTTTTAAAAATGTTGGATCAAATAATATGAGCATTCTTAACATTGATAGATACTGGCAAATTCTTTACAGCAAAGTTTACCAATTTATATTCTAACAACAGGTTTTCGAAGTGACATTTTCTACCCCTTCATAACACTGATATAATCAAGTTTTTTCCCCCTCAGTGTGATCATATTTATGCACACAATTTTTCAATCTGCTAT